CCACTCGAAAATAAAATTCATATCTTCGCGCCACCGTGTAATATCCTCTCTATATATCTGATTTCGTTAAAACGTGGCCACTGGGTTTTCGCCTGGCGCCGGGCGCAGCCCGGTGCCAGGCCAGTTCGGTGCCCAAAAATGTAGGGGGCTTGCCGTCTTGATCGGTACAGCTGGATAGCCCAGGGACTGCCCTAACAGTGGGTGGGTGGATGAGGCCCTGGGGTCAAAACTAGTGGGGTAGGGAGGGGGCTGTTTTGACACAACCCCTTCAGTAAGCAACAGTGTTCAGTGCAGGCTTTGACTGGCGAGTACCTTGGTCTTAATTTGCCCTAGCCAGCTGAATCAGGCCTGTGATGAGGATGATTATCATGATAATTGCAGAGCTCAGTGGGAGGTGCAGACAGTCACCCATTGTCCTGGGTGGGGAGGGTCAAAGCCTTGGTACCAAGGACGCACTTAGCGTAGGACCTTTAGACACTCACTGAAGCATCTCACTTGACTCGCCTTAACTTCTTTATTGCAGTCAAGTTTAAAGTCACTTGCGGAGAAGGCATTCTTGCATGTGGATACTCGGTCGGGATTTAACATGCTCACAGCGGCGGTCATTGAAGGAAATTGCGACGTTGTTTTTAAGGCGCACGTGCTACTCAGTCATTTGAAAATACCGATGGGACTTTCAGCAGTAGCTGATACTCTCGCAAATGTTGAAATCAAAAGGCCTGATCATCACAAAATCGAAAAAATTTACCGGGCGACAGTGGATAAAGTCAAGACACTGTCAGAGCTGCACAAATGTAGATGCGGTAATGATGCGGAGAAGGCAGTAGAGCTTGTGTTAAATGATGGCCTGGATATAAACACTCCTGCATTGTGTAATCGCACACCTTTGTTGTTGGCGAGTCTATCATCCTCTGGTGAGTTTATCGAGACCCTTATCGACCTTGGTGCTAACGTTAATGCCCAAAGAACCGACGGCAAAGGAACACCTTTGATCTTATCTGCTGATTGGAACAACTTCATGGCAGTGTACTTGCTTTTGGATCATGGAGCTGATGCTAATATCGCTAGAGCTGATGCATGTACTCCACTGCACCTTGCAGTGATAAATGGTCATCAAAACCTTGTCAAATTATTTCTGGAAAAGAACGCGTTAATAAATACTCAGGATGCTGAAGGCAATTCACCACTCCACACAGCTGTCAGCAAAGGATTTTTTGACATTACCAAGCTTCTGGTTAAAAAGGGAAGCAACGTCAACCTTCAAAATAAAGAAGGAAGAACCCCTCTTTTTCTTGGTGTAAAGAACAAACATGAACAGCTCATCAAACTCTTGATTGAAAACGAGGCTGATGTAACTATTGGATACAAGGAAACCTCTACCGAAAGAATTTACCTAGTTCGAGGGAAAGACAAATGTAGAGCAGCTTGGCGTTATGTCTTGGTAAAGAAACATTTGTTGGGTTTATTTCTGAAACGAACAAATGGAGGCAGTCTTAACGTGGCAGACTTTGGAGCTATTCTTCGTAGTGGGTTTGGAAAGGATCCTCAAGAAGGCACAATTGACAAGATACTTAAGGAGTATGACTTTATGTTTAAAGAAATACCTGGTGTGACCGCTCTTCACATTGCAGGCGGAAAAAACATCGAACCCGAGATAATCGATCTTTTGGTTAAGTCCGGGGCGAATGTCAGCGCCCAGGACGCCGAAGGATTCACTCCCCTGCACTTGGCAGCGATCCATGGTAATCTTAAAATCGTGAAAAAGCTTGTTGATCTCGAAGCTGACGTTAGTATCATCACAACCGATGGAAAGAATGCTGCTGAGTTAGCTCACTTGAATGAAGAACTGGAGATTGAGGAGTATCTCAAGTCGAAGATGTCTTCTTCGCAAAGAACAAAAAAAAATGAGGTTGACTCCGAACGTGCAGACTTACTCATAGAAGCTTATGGTTTACCGGCCACATTTGAATTAACAGAACATTTCAAGGAGCTGTACCTTTAAACTGTTTTTGTTTGTGTTTTTTTTTTTATTATTACCGGTTGCCTATACATCTTCAAAGTTAAGTGTTAAACGCACACGTTCTGATGCTGTTTAAGGTGGCCCGAACCATAGTTAATTGATTTATTTGTGCGTTGGTTATGTTTTTGAATCGAGTTTTTCGGCAGGAATGATTTAAACGATTTCCATGATTTTTGGCCTCCTTAATAAAGAATGGTCGAACTTTGAGAAAATGTTATTTATTTTCTTGTAGGTATAAAAACGTTTGAGATATCGGCATATGTTTAAAACTGCATTTTTACAAAAATGTCAATAATTTCGAAACCCTAAGACATACTTTTCTCCAACTACGGCAAATAAGCCTCAGAGCTCTCTAGTTTTATATCTGCAACTTTGAAGTCAATCGTGACCGTAGAACTCGAAGCTCAAATAGCTGGTCATATTTAACCTTGAAATGCAACGCTAACACATTTGAGAAAGTTGACTCACGAACAGAGGAAAACTGCCACCGGACTATCTCGTATGTGCAAGGGTATCACCAAAAGCTTCAGTTGCAAGAAACTGAGTAATCAGAAACATACGGCGAATACGGTTCGCACAACAAGAAGAATAACTCTATGCTGAATGAGGCGCAAGATTAAATAATTTCTATTTATCAAACTTACTTTGTATTTGTCCCTCTCTTTTCGAAACCTATCTTAACAAGGCAAAATATATTATCCACAAAAAACTCTCAAGAGTTTTTAGCGTTGCAGATTTCCGTTTTGAGGAGAAATAAAGCCACCAACTCCAGTACTTCTAACCGTCTATTTTCCAGCTGCACTGAAAGCCCTTGTACTTCGTAATTTATTCAAGGTTATTAGACTTGACATCACATTCGCACGGGAAGTTTGTCACTTGTCACTTTGACACTTCGTCTTATTCTTTTTATTATCCCCAATGGTAAAAGGCCCGTGCGAATGTGATGGCAAATCTTTCAAACTTGAATAAATTACCTAAAACAAGGGATTTCGTTGCAGCTGAAAATGGATCTGTTGAAGTACTGGAGTTGGTGGCTTTATTTCTTCTCAGGACGGCAAACTTCGGTGCTAAAAACTGGTCGGACTCCGTAGATGTTATATCTTGCTGTGTTGAGATTTTTTGCGAAAGGAGAAGGGAAAATACACGGTAACTTTGATAAATAGAAGTTATAGATGGTTTTTCGTAACATGGACAAAATGGGATGAGTCGTCGAATTTCCCATAAACTGAAATAGTCCAGAAGTCAAAATATAACAAAACAAAGCTAACATACTTTTGATTGAACGTCTACTTGTCTTTCCTGGCCGGTTAAAGTAGCATTTTGTCGTCGAGTTTTGCACTCGTACGTAACAACACTTTCAAGGGAGAATTTTTTGCATAACCGATCAACAGCAGACATGTATTATGGATTGGATACTTTGGTTAAGCCCCCCCGGGAGGGGGGAGTACTTTAGGAATTTCTGGGTGGGGATGTGCCGCTGGGACCCTGGAACCCTTAACCTATACCAGAGCTAGTTCAGCTGAATTTTGCTACCCTATACTAGAGTAAACTCCCCAAATCCCCGCTATCCTAGAGTAGCTGTTTCCCTAGTCTAGATAAAATCTTCAACCAACTGATCAGTTTCCTGAAAAATGATACCCTATTCTAGACCCAAACGGGGTTAAGGCATGTTGAAGAGTCATATATGGTAGAAGGACCATTGAGCCGGTTAATTTTCCTCATTTTGGTTTTTCTGATGAAGCAGACAAAGCGTTCACGAAGTCGTTTGTTGTGAGATGCTAATGTGTTGCCATTCAAGCGGTTGCGGATTTCTGGGTTATCGTCCATGATCTGCAGAGCTGCTTAGCATTTAGGTAAGATATATCCTTTGATTTACTTTGTCGAATGTGGAGCAGCATCATCGAATGTTGTGTGTTAAAGTTATAGCAGCCAGAATTCAACGTAATTTATGTGACCCCCGTATTTCTGTAGTATTTGACCCTGCCCGTTCTGCCGGTCTAGTAATATATCCTGTAGTGTTTTACGGATTTAACCAAGGATTGAATCAGATTTAACCACCACCAACACACACACCATTGCTGCTCGTGCAAACATATGTATTCAAATTTCAATTCAACAGTCAGAGTGCATGCTCGATTATACAAACATGGGGGGTAGGGACGGTAGACCAAACTATTCACATATACCACATTCCTCCCTTCTTCGAATTACTTGTTGGGTTAAAAGAAAACGAAAAGAAAATAAAGCCTAGCTAACAATGTATATAAATGTCTCTGAGTGCCCTACAGAAATCCTTATACGACCGAACACTTCTAAGTTGCTTAAGTGGAAACATATCGAATGGTTCAAGTTCAGTTCAGAGTTCCTGTTCTCAAAGTGTCAAAGTTCTACTCTGAATCCAGCTGAATAAGGCCTAAAGCATAGTCTTGAAATTTAGATGGTAATCTTTTGACTCTTGTTGGACGTAAGGTGACAGAATCTCTTTGCTCCATAGTAGCATCATCTGATCGTGTGTACTCCAGTGAGCCGTCCTCACTTGCTCTCTCACAGGAAACATTTACAGGTGTTCTGGAGTCTTGGTTTGATAAACTTTGTGTTGCTCTTTGAGCCTCTCAACCATATGTTGACTTACTAGTGGCTGGTAATACATCATAATCTCGCTCGAAATACTTCCTCACATGGGTTACATTCCGGCGGTACTGCACACCATCAGCCTCAACAAGAAAACTATTGCCATTCTTCTGAATAACAGTGAAAGGAGACTGTTATCACCTCGAATCTCGCTTTCACGTTCATTCCTTTGGCAGTCTGCATACACCTTTCCCTTTTCTTTTCTCTCACTGTCGCGATCTCGAACCTCATCTTCGATGCTGAACTCTTGGAGATGGGGTAGTTTGGTCCTGTTAAGTCTTCTAAATAATAGTCCTGCCGGGCTAACCCCAGTAGTAGTACTGCGATACATCACTAAGAACTTGTCCATCTCTGATTTCCAGTTGATACCCTCTGCTTAAGCTATACGCAAACGCTTCAGGATACTGCGGTTTTTGCCTATCTATTTCACCATTGGCTTGTGGCCATAAGGGTGTGGTTCCAGTCTAAGTTTAATTCCGTTTTCCTCCAAGTACTTCGTAAAATGTCCACTAGTAAACTGCGGACCATTGTGGGTTCTTAAGGACAAAAAAAGGCCATGAGTGACAAAAAATTTTGGACAGCATTGATACAATCTTCTCAGAAGTAGTAGACTTGGTAAATTCCATCTCAAAGAATCGGCTGTAACAGTCCACCACAACAGGCATAATCACCAAAAGGCAATGGATCCAATAGATCAGCTGCTAGATGTTGCCATGGTGCTGTAGGCTACTCTGTACGTGTCATCGACTCAGGTTCGATTGGTTGTGAAACTAACTGACTACCATGACAGGTCTTCCAAGCTCTCTCTACCTCTTTGTCGATGCCTGGCCACCACACTTTGGTACGCAAACGTTGCTTCATTGCTACGATTCCTGGATGACCTTCTTGTGCCAACTCTAGTACTTGACAACGAAGTTGCTTTTGTATCACAATTAGCGTTCCACGAAGAACAAGCTTTCCAACTGCACTTAATTCACCTCCCACAGCTAGGTACTCTTTGAATTCTAAGGCATGCCATTTCCTATTCAAGAGAGATTCTCGTACACTTTTTAGCTCAGGATCAATTTCTGATGCTCTCTCTATTTCACGAGTTGTCAGGGCAACTGGTGTTGATTCTTGGGCAACCCACTTGACATATTCTTCGGTTTGGTCTTTGTGTTCTGACGGTGGCATTGCACACAGGAGACGTGACAAGGAATCAGTAATATTCTTAGGACCTGGAATATATTTCAGACTGTAAATCTGCAGGGTTGCATTCTGAGAAGCCATCTTTCGATCCTGGCACAGGTCTTAGACTTAGGTGAGAATGCATTCTAGAGGCTTGTGGTCAGTCAATAGTTCAAACTCAGCACCATACAAATAGGCATGAAACCTATTGCAATGGCTAAGGTCTCTTTCTCAGTCTGAGAATATCTGCGTTCTGTATCGGACAGGCTGCGGTTTGCATGACTAATAACTCGTAGTTCTTCTCCTTGCTCTTGAACTAGCACGGCTCCTAAGCCTACAGGGCTTGCGTCTGCGATCACCTTAGTTAAGTGTCTCTGCACTGGACAGTCGCTTCTTTAACTCATCAAATGATTTGCTGTTGCTCCGGTCCCCAAGCAAATGGTTCTCTACTCTTTGTAAGCTGGCGGAGGGATGCAGATACTGTTGCTAGGTCAGGAATAAACCGTGCAGTGAAATTGACCAGACCAAGGAAGCTTCGTACTTCCGCAGCATTCGTCGGTTCACGGGCATCAACAACAGCCTTTACTATAACGTGTGCTGGACCAGTTCTACGTGCCGACAAAACATGACCCATGAACTCCAAATGTGACGTCTTAAACTGACACTTGTCTCGGTTCAGTGTCAATCCCCCGCTGCTCAGTACTCGGACCACATTCTCAAATCTTTTGTCATGTTCCTCCTCCGTGGGTGCATGTAATATCACATCATCAAGAATATTATGAGCTCCGTCACACTCTTGCAGGACTTGGTGAAGTACCTTGTGGTACATCTCAGGTGCACAACTTATACCGAACATGAGTCGTTGTACCGGTAGAGTTCCTTGTGTGTGCCAATAAATGTAGTGATATTCCTTGATTCGGGCGACAGTTCTATCTGATGATAGGCGGAGGTAAGATCCAACTTGCTTAAGAACTTGCTCTGGTTCAAATCTTGTAAAACTTCGTCAATGATGGGTATTGGGAAACGCTCTTGTTTTACTGCTATGTTGGCTTGTCGCATATCCACACACAAACGAATATCACCTGAGGGCTTGGGCACCACTACCACTGGTGAGACCCACGAGCTCGGTCCACTCACTTTTTCAATGATGTCTAGTTACACAAGATCATCCAGTTTGGTACTCAATTTATCACGCAAGTGGTAAGGAACCCGCCTAATTGGTTGTGCTACAGGTTGTACCTTAGGGTCAATCGGGACTTTTAGCTGGAAATCTTTCAGTTTGGCAATACCTTCACAACATCCCGGGAACTTTTCAAAAATACTGGCCCCCCCTTTTGCTCCATCCAAAACCTCTAGTGAATTCACGTGAGCTCCCAGCTTCAGAACTCCTTGAGAAATGGCAGTTTCTCGCCCAAGGAGGGCGTATCCCTCATTTTCAATGACAACAAATTCGACCCCACTTAACACACTCTCTCCAATGCAACAGACACTTCTGCAGTAAACATGCCTGCAACTTGTAGTGGCTGATTACTACCATATGCATACAACTTCTTTGAAGCCTTAGTCGACACACATGCAACCTTATTTGCTTTCAGATATTCCCATACATTACGACCTATAACATTGCAACTAGCACCAGAATCAATAATCATTTTTACTGGCAAACCTCTCATCTTCACAGAAATTTTCCCATCACTTAAAACACTAGAATCATCTAATATGCCAAGAGCATATTCACAATCATCATCCTGAGTACTTGCAGTTTCTACCTGCCTTACATGGTTGAGCTACACCTCCCTTCTTTCCGACGTCTGGTTTACGCGGCCCTCCAGCTCCTCGACCACTGGTTTGCTTCTCCTTAGTTTTACACACGCCAAAAAATGTCCTGATTCATTACACTTCCTGCACTGTTTCCCTCTAGCTGGACATCGACGATCGTTGGCTTTATGTCCCGTAATCCACAACAAAAACATTTGACTTTCCTTGCGCTTGCATCCCCTTTGTAATTCGTCTTTCCGCTCACACTACAGTAAAAACTCGCGTATAAGAACCTAGTGATTTAACAACCTACAGGCTGAAATTTTGCATTTTAATACCCAAATATATAAAAACCTATTCAGCCTGACAAAGAAAAATAGGTTCTTATATTTAAAAAAACACTCCAGATTTGATGTTCAAATTCTAGAGTTTAATTGTGAAAATTTTTGTAGTGTACTGCTTTTTAGTCTTACCAATAAAATATTATTCATTCCATAAAACTTTGCTGTAGTTACTAATGCAACTACAAAAACTGTGTACTGTATTTTTCCTGTTGAAATTTGCATGGTGATCATACAACTGTAAATATGGTCAGGCACATGATACAGGACTTGTTTCGACAACAAGGCTTGACATTTTTGTAAATGCTTTACAATTATAGCATATTAGTACTATTGCAGTTCCCCCAATGCTATCACTATAATAACTTTTGCAAATAAGAACCTACTAAGAACCTAATCAGCCTGTTATTGGAAAAAATACCCCAAAATATAAGAACCTGTTCAGCCTGAACTCCAACATTCTAGGTTCTTATACGCGGGTTTTACTGTACTCACTTCACTACAGACCTCACCACTTCCTCCTTCGATTGAACGGGCCTGTTTTTCAGATTCCTCCATAGAACGAGCAATTTCTCTTAATTGTGGCAGTGTCATGTTTCGACCCTTCTGAAGTAACTTCCGACGGAGTTCGTGCGACAAGCATTTGCTTGTCTCTTGATCACGAATTTGCTCATCCACAGTTGCAGCGTCTCCGAATTCGCAGGTTTGGGCTTTTTGTCTCCGTCTAGTAAGGGAAAGTTCATTTAATATGACAAGGGGGGATGAAGATATTGAGGGGGGCTCCGAAAATTTTTAGACACCCGAAGGGGGGCTGTGAAAAAATTGTTGCGCTAGGAGGGGGGGCTCCGAAAACTTGTATACTTCAAAACCAACACATGACATCATCATACAGATCGGATGGTTTTCAACTCAACAATTTAATGACCTGTGCAACTCAGCTATATCACGTGGTTTACAGATATAACAAATGTGGTCTCAGTAATTATTACACTCTTGTTCATCCTAAAAATGCTTTAGAAAATTGTATCACAATTGTATCTCAAGTTTGTCATAGTATAAACCATTGAAGACAATAACGGTAAATATATTTAATACAGTCTAGCGATCTTTTTTCAGGGGAGCAAAGGAATTGAAGGAGGAGGGGGGGGGCTCTGAAATTTTTTTCGACTACCAAGGAGGGGCTCCTAAAAATTGAACCGCTATCGAGGGGGCTGCTAAAATTTCGAGCTTCGAGTTTCAATATCTTCATCCCCCCTTGTCATATTAAATGAACTTTCCCTAACAAACTGTTCGACGGCCGTTTCGTTTGCCAGTTTACTTGTTTCACGAAAGCAAAGCCTTTCATACGAACATTCGCTTGCGGTTTGGAATATTTATTCAAGGTCGCCTTTGCTTTCTGATAGCTATCTGATCCTCCTTTTTCAGTCAACGTGAAATAAATATCTTACACATTTAATCCGGCAGTATGCACCAATAAAGCCTTCTTCTGATCAACATTTTTTACTCCTTTTCCCGTCGCAAACAATTCAAAAGCTCGAAGCCATCTTTCCCAGTGTGCGGAAATACCAGCAGTTTCTGAACAGTCAAACGGCTTTAATCCTTGTGCATCTCTTTAATATACACTTGCCATCTCGAATAAACTTCCTCAAATGACCGTCCTCGTCGCCAAAATGTAGTGTTTTACGGATTTAACCAAGGATTGAATCGGATTTACCACAAACACACACACCATTGCTGCTCGTGCAAACATGTGTATTCAATCTTCCTAACAGCCAGAGCGAATGCTCGATTATACAAACATGGGGTTGGGGACGGTAGACCTAAATATTCACATATACTACATATCCCACACAAGCGACTAAACAGGTTAGACTTTTCTTTCAGTCGCTCCGTGTTTTCACTTTTAATGGTTAATTCAAAGAGGGGAAGTTCGAATATTTTGATACTATTTAGCGGCGTGAAATCAACAAGCAAATTTCCTGCACTTAAAAGTAAGGCGGTATTCGGCTGTTTCCTTCTGTTTCGAAAATTTGCTTTTCTGGTTTACTTTGATTCTCTGTGGCGATTACTTATTCTCAAATATTAGTTGCTAAAACTTGGGGAAATTAAGATAGACAAATTTGTCTTGTCCCTTTCAACCTTGTTTTCAGATTTTTCGTGAACATGTAAAAATATATCCCAGCAAAACTTACTTGTAAAAGCATTGTTTCGGAACGCACTTTCATTCTTGTATGTTTGGTGTTGCATCCAAGAGGCGGAGGGGGGGGAACCATGATGAAATTGAGTTTTAATAATCATGCTCTGTAAGCTCTCAGAGGCGTTGTACAAGAACCCTCACCATTTGGAAGATGATTTATAATCTGATAACTTGTCTATGTTGATTTGTTTATACATAAAAAAATTGCGGCAATAAAGAATTGTTATCTTATGCTTAAAATGTTTACATAATGTCTTGAAACTGAAATCAATATAAAATATGAAAATTCACTTATGTGCATTCGTTTCCCTGTCCTACTAGAAAATATGTTAATTGTGATTTAATGCATTTACATACGACCATTACGACATTACTCCCACTTTGACACGGGCACAAGTGCAAGCGCAATAGAATTCTTGCTCATGCTCAGCTTCTCACTTGCTGGACTGCCTTTCCAGTTTGAAGTACAGACAACAGACATGAAATCCCTGAATTTTATTCCTTGCATTGACATCCACATATGAATCAGCTCCAACGCATACTGATAGAATACATTTGTATGCTTAAAAAAATCATAAACGGACGTCTTGATTCCGAAAATGTCGAATTCTATTTAATGGGAGATATGAATTTCAATATGGCTTCAATGTCTGACACTAATTCTCGCTTGTTGTCGGACATCACTGACCAATATGGCCTTCACCAGTTGATAAACGAGCCTACGCGCGTCACTGACACAACATCTACTCTAAGAGATCTATAGAGTGTTTTCACATGACGTCACGGCGGCCATATTGGTGTTCCAA